GGGAGGGGTGGGCGGCCGAAAGCCAACTGTTTGTACTGAATGGCAAGAATGTTCTAGTAAATGTGTACCAAAATGTGAATTACTTTGTACGATTACAGTCTCCACGTCGACCTAACCGAATATTATTGGTATTAATGTGCTTTTTTTGTATAAAGTGCAAACATTTCGTCCAAAAGTCTAAGTACTTTAGTGCAGTAAAATGTTGTTTCACGTCCTGTCAAGAATTCGTATAGTACGAGCCTGGATCTGCGTGTCAAACTGTTCCATTTGTTTATGTAAAGTGATATTAAAAAAGATATAAACTATAACTGTCCGTTACTTTTGGCAAAAGATACAACCACATAATGTATATAATTCCTAGTTTCCATATTTATCCGCATGTAAAGGGCCGGTTTATCCATGTTACAGCTCTTCAATATTTATGGTTAGAAGAACTCGTATGTACACTTTAGTTTCCAGAACTGTTTGGTAACCTTTCGTACCTTATTAAAGATTCTTAAATCTCAGTGATTGTGGTAGGAATTTCTTCTTCACCCACCAGCAACCTGCTGCCTCTTCTGCCAGTCTTAAAGGGTCTCCGGAAAAGCTCTGCAGTCTCCCTTGCCTTCCCTTTCTGTCATTGCAGGTCGTATAAACGTGATAAATGAATGCTACCCTGCTGGCTCTGCGAGAGAGTGTAATTAGTATTTATATCAAAATTTATGAAACAAATTTTCGGTCGCGGTATAATTTAAATGACCTTTGCAGATGTAGAATAACAACCATAAAAATAACAGAAATAGATTGCACAGGCGACATCAATATTAATGTAGACGAATTGTCAGAAGCTCAGGGGCTCGCTCTGCAACATTGCAAATGAACTTGCAGCCGAGGGTTCCGCTGCCCCGTAGATTAAATTCCCCTGGCTGAAACCGAGTTGCAGATTTACAATATCATATTTTAAATTGCTGTCTTCAATTAAACCGTTTATGACCATAACTAATTTTCAGGATGTCGATGCATGCTTTTCCAGGCCTTCCTTCTTTGTACAAAAGTAAATGTCCATAAAGCGTTTCACTTATATTCTTCAAACATGATGCTAATTTAAATTAATTACTTCCTATGATATGTTATTGTTCCTATGATTTTGCCAGTGTTATTAGTTCTCTCAAAAATACATCTAGGGAAGAGGATTATTTTAAGTAATTTGATTATCTTTCTATCTCTTTTATTTATTTCTCATTTACTTAAGAAATTCGTTCCATTGGTTGGCGTTGATACAGTAAATTTGTAAATGAGGAGACAATATAAAAAATCTAAATTACTTGTGCTTAATGACTGTGGCAGAACGCCTTTTCTCTAAATCAGATTGTCTTTCTTGCAGTTTAGTTTGATAGATTTGCAAGCTATGCTGCTTCCATGAAGTTAGCTGCGCTGGTAGGAACGCAGGCTTCTTTGTCTCTGGTTGTAGCTTGCATGATCGCCCCATTAGGCAGAAAACGTAGCCGGAGATCACAAATCAGGCCCTTGGCTGTAGCTGCTAGGGTGTGGAGGTGCAGAGCAGGCGGCAGAAACTGACCTCACTGGGCAAGGAGGGCCGTGGACCTGATTCTTTAATATACTATATGTGTTCAGGAAGCCATAGACCATATTTGACTCTGAGAAAGAAAACAAGAGGAAAAACCCCACAAAGTATAAATAACCCCTTAGGATACATCTATTTTAAAGTGAAATTAATTTTTCAGATTAAACCATTGGCCAATTACAAGATAAAAATGTTCAATTCTCTTTAAGAATCCTTTGTTGACTTGTCTTTTCATCTCTTACTATTTATATTTGTCACTGTTAGTCAACAAAGTCTTATTTGCTGAGTAAGGACTTTGCTGCACATCAAACACTGGGGAGGGTGGTGTTTAACTTTTTAAAAATGTTATTCTGATTATAACAATAATATTGGCTTTTTCATGAAAAGAGCGCCACCTTGCAAAGTTTAGTGAGATTTATGGAAGTTGAATACCTAAGCAGGAACCGCTGCTAGCTCCAAAAATTTGTGAAGCAAAAGCTAGCTCCAGTTGGTTTGGAAGTTTGAAATTGATTAACAGAGTTGCATTTGAAGTGACTCCAGACATTAAGTATAATAGTTAAAAACAGAAAGAGGAATAAAGAAATCTCTTCTCTCTAGAAAAGATAACACTGCAATTAATAATCCTTCCCACTTTCATTGAGATCAGGTTGTCTGATAACCTGATATGAGTGTGATAATGACAAACATGGTAATAATGGTACTTTTGTAATTTCGCTGGTTTTTAAAAGAAAATAGTAAATGATGAGTTCGTCTTTTCTTTGAACATTCCTATTCCTAAATGTAGTTTACCTCAAATTTGGAATTATAAGTGTCTAATTTTTGTTACGTATCTGATGCCCCTTTTGCTTTAATATCATAGTGTAATAATTAAATATCACACTATGACATATGATTTAAGTAGGATATTTTAACGATACATTTTAGGGGTAAGTGTGTACCTCAAAATGACTTCATATTTCAAATATTTATTTAGACTTTGAAGGCCAAATAATTTTTAAGAAAACATTTGAAGAGTAGTGTGTTAGCATTTGTGAATAATCTCACTCACAGCAAATAAATGTAACAGAAGCCAACATTTAAGGCAACCCTCCTGTGCATTCTCTTTTCCAACACCTATCACAAAGAAAAAGTCATTAATGATGTAGGTGGCCTAAAATAATGCTTCGAACTTAAATGTAGTCTATTATTTTGCTGGCACCTTTAATATTTGCTTCTTGAGATGTATTCTTCATACTTTTTTTCATGGACTATTAGGTTTTGAAATACACAAATGTGAATAGCAAAATATATTCTTAGACTCTGTTTAGCAGGAGCTGAAGATGCTGCAAATGGCCTGTTTCCTGTTTCTAGATTCTGACTTAGGCAGAATGCTTTCCTGGTTCGTTTTGTAATTGCATTGTATTCTGAATACTATCAAATGATTAGAACAGCTAACAAGTTATTAAAAAGTATATGTTGTGTCAACAGAAAATGCCTGAGTACAAGCAATCATATTTGAGAAATGAAGATAAATGAGTTGTGGTATGTGTGTATGTGCATTTATAGAGCAAGCATATAAATATACAAGCACCATTTATGTGGGGGCTAAGTAATTTTCAAACATTTCAGATCCTTTGTTTTCTTCTTCAAAAGCTACCCCCAACTGCTTTAAGCGTTTGCAGCTGATGATTTTGATTTTTTAAAGTCAAGCATTCAAGTTAACCTTTAAAAAGCAAACCACCTCCAAAAGAAAGATGTAACCTTTCAATTGCCCCATCTGCTTATCTTTTTTTTTTTTTTTTTTTTTTTTTTTCTGACAATGAAAGTAGCACTAACCTTCCTTGCTGATGGGCCTGGCATTTAGATGCTTTTATTGTGAAGTTTTCTCAGAACTTTTAAAGGGCTGGCCAGAGAATTATACCCTCAAGTACCTCACCTAGCCCCAAAACCTTCCAGAAGTTTTCTTTTTGAGGCCAACATTAAATCAGTGTCTGGGACCCCTTGTGAGTCAGTGCTGTTGGAGTTGTTACCTGAGCATACTGCTGTTCAGGAAGTGAGTTGGAGAAGGCCCTAGACCTTAAAGAGAGGATTTAGTTTAAGATGTTATGAGAAGTTACTCCATGTGGTCTGGCACGCTCAAAATAAAGGCACTTGTGCCCTTGGCTGTGGACTAGATATAAAGACATCAGCTCTTACACATTCCTAACTTGCATTTCTTTTCTTTTTCCAACTTAAAATACTGATTACAAATTTATCTCCTCCTCTCTCAGTACAGAGTTCTGTCTTCCTTGTAGCATCAAATGTAGTTAGTTCTTAGAATTATGTGTTCATATTTGAGGGGGGAAAGTGTTTTCATAAAGATAGTCACAGTTGATATCAACTGTTTTAGAATTATTGAAAATAGTGTGGCAATGGAAGGATTGATCTTGTCTGTGCCGTCAAGCCGCTAAAGGTACAAGTTACCCATGAGAGTCTCTCTTTCAGCTTTTTAACCACCCTGTCCATCCTCTGTAATACGTACCATTTAAACTAGTTAAATATAGAAAGTAGGGTTATTATGGGTAAGCATACAGCAATTTTTAAAAAAATGATAACCACTATTTTGGGCCAAGAAATACAAAAAATGTTAACTTCTTATGTCACAGTCAATCCTTTTCTTCAAAGTTTATTGCAAATATAATGGCGTAATAGGTGCAAATTATGAATAATGTTCTCCTTAAATCTATGCAAGGCTGGTTTGCTCCAGAGTCTCTTCCTTAGCAAGAGGAAACACACCAGGCCAAACCAGAGGCTATTTTTACTGTGGAAGCTGGGATCTGTCATCAGTTCCTAAAGTTGATATCCATTTTAGAGTGAAGAACTAAAACAGTATGAAGTTTCCAATTGATGTTATATACTAAAGGTGAGTTTTTAAAAAACCGGACTTAGCTATCTAGAGTGGAAATATCATTTGGCAGTGAAGATGCCACAGACTGACAGTGTGTCAACTGTTCACAATACTTTGGTTGCCTCTGATGGTTGTGAGACATCTCTGTAAGCATGTGCAGGAAAATTCACGTGTTGTGAAAGTTACACAGTGACATTTTCACCTACAGTACACACAAGAATCAACTGTTGAACATGGGTATAAACATATTGGAATCAATCTTTAAAAACAACAATAGCAAGCAAACCCAAGCCGTCCGACCTTAGCAAACTTTAAAAACTTGTTATTTTACATCTTTCTTTTGTGTATCAATGTCCATTAAGTTACAGAAAGCGGGAACGTAAACGGCGAGAGAAACTCGCATCGCGATTCCTTTCTAAACATGTTCCGTTCATCCGGGAAAAT